CAAGCAATATCCAGTAAGAGGGCAGGTGGTAGCTGGGCCTTGGTGGTGCACACCTTTAATCCCAGCACTCAGGAAGCAGAGGCAGGCAGATCTCTGAGTTCGAGGACAGCCCGCTCTACAAAGAGAGTTCCAGGACAGCCAAGGCTACACAGAGAAGCCCTGTCTGAGAAAACAAACGAACAATAACAAAACAGAAAGACAGAGAGAGAGAGAACAGGTGGTACAATGGATCAGGCATTGGTTTCCACATCCTGATCTCACACACAGGGAGTGACAAATTCTCCTTAGCTAGTTATGTAACACATGGAACTTCAGTTCCTTTGGGTAGAAGATGGTGCCTTTTTTTCTGCAAAGGTTGCTGTTTTAGTCACTGATCTATTGCTGTGAAGAGACACCATGACCAAGACAACTCTTATAAAAGAAAGCATTTAATTGGGAGCTTGCTTACAGTTTCAGAGGCTGACTCCAGTATCATCATGGCTGGGAGTGTAGCAGCAGGCAGGCAGGCGTGGTGCTGGAGCAGTAGCTGAGAGCTTACATCTGATGCACAAGTTGGAAGGAGAGGGAGGGGGACAGGAAGAGAGAAAGAGAGAATGGGGAATGGCATGGGCTTTTGAAACCTCAAGGCCCATTCCAGAGACACACCTTCAACAAGGCCACACCTCCTCCAGCAAGGTCACACCTCCTTCCTAAACAGTCCAACTAGGAACCAAACATTTTAATATGAGCCTATGGGGGCCATTATCATTTAAACAGCCACAGTTACAGATAGGAATCCTTTTGCTTGCTTATTTTTGAGGCACAGTCTCATTGAATAGCTCCAGTTGGTCTTGCTATGTAGGCCAAACTGGTCTCCAACTCACAAAGAACTGCTTGCTTCTGCCTCCTAAGTTCTGGGATTCATGGCCTATGTTAGCATGCACAGCCCCTAGAGTCCTCTTTATACAGTGTGTTCTGCACCCGTTATATTCCTTCTCTACACATCTTAGCTCATTCTGACAGAAGAAGGGAGTTTGTTTGAAGACAGCACTCCTTCAGTGTGGCCTCACTGTGCAGAACAGGGTGGGTGAGTGGAACGTTCTGATAAACTCTCCTCAGTTAAGCCTGAACTAGCAGGTGAGCACAGAAAAACGGAGCTTTTCTGTGTTCTGAGTATTGGGGCTGCATTCCTGCTGGCTCCAGAGTGGCCCCTCATCGCCCTAATCCATCTTCTGTTTACCCAATAACTTTTGCTTCTCTTATCACCTATGTGAATCTCGTCTGAGAGTCTCCCAAGGATCAAAGGCCTACGCAAAACTTGGTTCAGGTCAAGTACCTGAGAAATCAAGGAATTTACATTTGGCATTGTATCTTTGGGAGCTCCTTTCAGGTTGTTTTGAGCACATGGAAATCAACTGGATAAACTGTAAATAGAAAATAAAAATGCCCTAGGCGAAGGGAAAGTGCTTAGAGGCTGGACTCCCCCTGCAGCCAAGAAAGGCTAAACTAATTTTTCTCCCCTAGACAGGGTTTCTCTGTGTAGTTTTGGTGTTTGTCCTGGCTCTTGCTCTATAGATCAGGTTGGCCTTGAACTTATAGAGATCTGCCTGGCTCTGCCTCCCAAGTACTGGGATTAAAGGTGTGTGCCACCACCACCCGGCCCTAGATTCATTCTTAAGGTGCCTCTGAATCTTCTTTTCACAGATCCGTGTGAACCCACACCCACATGCAGCGACATTTTGCCACAGAGTATTGTCACCAATGATCAAACACACAGACAACTTGATTTCATAGGTGCCATCTCATCATATGGGAGCATAGATTGTATTCTGTCACTTATAATTACATCTCCAAGACATTCCTAGTCCTGGGATTACAGACAAGCCTGACACGCTTTCCTTTTGGTTTTGGTTTCGGATACAGAGTCTCATATAGGTCAGCGGGCAGGGAATTCATTATGCAGCTGAGGATGCTCCCGAACTCCTGATCTTTCTCTCTGCCTCCCTTCCATCACCTTACAGTTCCCCATCACCATTAAAAAAAATTAAGACTGCTCCAAACCTAGGCTTCATCAGTCCTTGTCCCACTTAGGAAAAAATGAAAGTCATGTAAATGGAATGAGACACTGAAAGCCTTTGATTTCATCTGTAGTCCCCTTTTCTCTCTTCATGGCTTATTAAAGAATGAAGAGAGGACTTTACATCATGACCGACAGTGTGTAACCCTGGGCAAATGACGTAACTTCTCCAAACTTCAATTTATTCATCCTTAGAACGAGTCTAGCTTATATAAGGATCCTCAAAAATGCCTCTTTAGCCCAGCAGGTTAAAGGCAGCACTTGGAATTTCCTGCCCCCTAATGGCACTGTCCCAAATTGCACCTACCTTTGTAAACTAACAACCTGTTTTAGTGTCTGTTTGACATTTACCCAAGTTTCCTCGATACAGACCATCATCCATCTATCTTCCTCATTAGAAACTGCAGGTCTTTCTTTTACCAAATACAAAAAAAAAAACTACAGCTTTAACTTAAGATTTAAAGCAGACCTCTGTTCAAATCTTGATTTCTTTCTATGTTGTGTTGCTATTACTGGGATGGGTTCCAGGGGCTGAACTCGTCATCAAGCTGGAGGCTAGTGCTTTTACCCACTGAGTCATCTGCTCCCCCCCTTATATATTCCGAGGCTATTTTAAGTAGGTGTACACAAGGTGTGGTCTGAGTAAGCATGGTCCTCACAGGCTAATATATTGTGGTGGTCTGAGTAAGAACGGCCATTATAAGTTAACATATTTGAATACTTAGTCCCATTGGTGGAACTGTTTGGGAAGGATTAGGGGGTGTGTCACTGTTGGCTTTCCCAATTAGCTCTCTCTGCCTCATGCCTGTTGATCAATAAGCTCTTAGCTACTGCTCCAACACGATGCCTGCCTGCTACTATGCTTTCTGCCCTGATGGCATGGATGCTGAAAATGTAAGCCCCAAATAAACTCTTTTGCTAAGCTGCCTTGGTCATGGTGTCTTACCACGGGAACAGGAAAGTAAGTCAGAAGGTTAGAATTACTTCAACTTCGTGGTAAACTGTAAAAACATTTCTATCACAAAGGCTTTTTGTCTTAATCTGTTTTGTATTAACAAATCAGCTTTTGGGGGCCAAAATTATATCATGTATCTCCTCTTTTCCCTCCTGAGCTCTGTGTCCTTATGGTTAAGTATGCTCCTCATAAACATCCTTTTCCAAAGTTAATCAATCCCCCCTCCCTGCAACTAGGATTCTTTCTGATTGACCACACCCTCTTATCATCCCATCCTTCGAGCACTCCACTGGTTCTTGGTAGAAGAGAGCTACACCCTACATATGGGCATGGGCTTCTCAAAGATTTGTTTAGACCACATTTGATAGGGTCAGTTAGTAGGCACCCATTGCCTAGTGTGTACCAAAGTTCCAAAGCCCTGAAGGTGAGCAAGTGTCAAGCATGAATCCTGTTGTTTATACAAACATTTCAGGTGTGTGAACCTCCTACTACCAGAAGCCACATCAAGTGGCCCGAAGGACAACACACCGTTGCCCACTAAGCTAAGTTTTGTTGTTGCTGTTTTATACTGTCTCTGAAAGACTTGGCAACCAAGCCATGCCCGGGTCAGCACTAGAGGTAGGGTGTCCAGTCAAGAGCTTCAACGCCCCCAGAGTGCACAGATGTGAGAGCTAAATCACAGCAACCCGACGGCTGGAGGCAAGGATTTCTAAGTGTTCAGAAGAAATGACAGTTTCCGAGTTTATGATCATTTACCGAAAATTATTTCACGTATAATTTGCAAAATTCTAAATTAGATGTACATAGATGTTGCCATGGAGGAATTTCCTTTCAAATACTACTAGGATTGGGTTTATCCTTTTATCTAGGCTGTCCTTGCTATGGAACATTAACTTTTAAGATCTGTAATGCAAAACTAAGCCAAAGAGACTAGGGTTCCTGTCTTCTGCTAAATGTTTAAAACACACTACTGATCCCAGAGTTGTTCCCACAGTTCCTTCCTTCTAACTACCATATTTTTAATTAATTCAGATGAAACAGTTACGACTAAATAATTAATTCCTACCAGCCCCATAATATCCTACTCCAGAATCTGGATTCAATCTTTGCATATTTCGTAACATGGTGGTGCAAGTCATAGAGGCTACTTAGAATCCACAAAAAACCAAAATATTTAATGTGAATGAAAGAAAAAGCATTTATTTTCCCTCAAATCTAGTAAATACCACTTTAATGTAGAAGAGGACATTTTTATTTACAGGCTAATTAAGAATATGATGCTCAACTTAACTAGATATAATACATTTATCATAAATCACCTTACATGTGAACCAATATAATTTTGTTTTAAAATATGAAAACAACATAAGCCCACTGCTGTGGGGAATAGTCCAGCACCATGGACAGGTTGTGCTAACTTGTAATTTTTCCACTCTAATCAACAGGCTTCATCTCTCTTGAATTTAATTTAACAATAATCCCTAAGCCAAATGTGGCGTTTCCATCATGTTCAGAACAGAGAGCTGCAGGAAATAATTTTGCACGTTAGGGTGACTTTATCTGCACACACACCTCACGTTCGTTCTCTTGAACAACTTCCCCCTTCTGTCATGTTTTCACTGTTATGGTTTTGCAACAGCTGTCCACCCATGTTTTAGCTTTGTCCAAGAAGCTTCAGTGTTATCTGGGCATCTATACTAATGTGAGATATAAAAGCTACTTTCCACTCAGTGCTTTGGAAAAGGTGAAATACCTAGTTCATCCCCAACAATGACGTAGTCTGAAAATGAACTCCCCACTAGGCCTGGGAAAGTGCCTGGATGCTCACAGCAGCGTCAATCACTGTGCTCTCACAGCCTTCCAAACCACAAACAAAGCAGCAGAGAAGCGCAGGACAATGACCTGCAGAAACATAAACTACTCTTTCTAAAGACACACACACCGTAACCATCTCACAGTCTCTCAGAGGGAATGCACAAAATGCCCATCCAGTTTCTAAAAATCTTAACCATTTATTGTGCAGATCTTGAAAAAAATCCAAAGGATTATAGCTTATATTTCCTAAATATTCAGTCATACATATAAGGCATATTCTTTGGGGGAGAAAAAGCCATGGTCATTCCCAGGCAATGTATGTTGAAAGAATATAGGAACAACAACATGGTTTCATGTCATGGCAAAAATGTTTTCAGATCTGTTACCATGGATATTTTTTCTTCACCTAACTGAATACACTGGCTACCACCTACTTTGAAGATCACAAGTCATGCAGTGGGGCATGTGTTTGGCATGGGGGAAATACATGAGAAAAAAACAATCTTTCTCTTAAGAGGCCCAGCCTGTCAGGAGCAAACAATAATATGTAACTTTTTATTCATTTGTACAATTAAAATACTAACCTTGCTTACAGGCAATGTTACGCTACTAAGTACCTCAGCATCAGTAACAATATACAGACGAAGTGCATCTCTAGTTACCAGTGAACATGGTGATACTCTGAAGGATGAAACCACCCACACAGACCATAAATGAGCAACAGTTACAAACTAAACTTATAAATAGCGAAATCACAAAATAAAGTATATACACTTTATAGATTTAACTTTGAACAAATATATAATGCATCTGGGAAGAAGAATCATACCAAGAAGGAGATACTAGAGGCTTCTCCCACTTAATATTCCCTTAGGTGTAAATCCTTTAGAACAGTGACGGAGCAAAAGTCAACACCTCTTTAAAGACAGTATTTGACTTTGCCTAGCAAGGTGCAGTGCTCTGTGGGTCAGGAAGGAGGGAGCAGGCACTCTGTGCTTAGTTCTGATACGAGAGAACTAACGTATTTACAGAGTTCGCACATGAGTATTGCTTTAGTCAAGCATATACTCAAAAGAAGACCAATACGGTCACTGTACCAAAATGTCTTTACCTCGTCTTGCCCACCTTGGCTCCTGGCTTTTTAAATGATTGGCAAGTCAGGTACTTAAAGCATACTGCAGTTTGAACACAATGTATTTCATGACATCGTAATGTTTCCTGACTATCACAAGACAAAGCTTATGAACAAACAACTCAAAATGTATAAACATTTGAGACTAAACACTAATAGTGTAATGCTCCAGTGCCATGCACACAGATCAACATAATTGACAACAGGTATTTCACACTCGTCTGCGTTTCCTTTAAAAACCCAAAGTAAAATGCACACTAACTTTTCAGAAACTACTTCTAGTGCAGCATTGATTGCTACGGATTGCCTAAAGAAAATATTTTGTACTGCAATAAACTGGAAAGCAAACCCGTTATAATAAATGATCATGAAGAATTAATTTAGATATCAGGAATGTACAACACACCTTTTTTAAAAACCTGAAGCAAATTTTCAGTTAAGCAAAAATGTCAACCTAGATTTCTGCAATTCACTGAGTCAAATTCTGTCATCTGAAGTTCTGCGGTTTATCCTTAGGGAATATGTGATAAGGATTCATTTACTCTGCTGTGTTTAAAGGGTACTTAGAAAATCCAGTTAGCATTGTCCTGTTAAATATGAAAAGGAGCCAAATGAAATAGCATCCACTTGGCCTTTAAGAGCCTAGTAATACCCCTTGGGAGACACATGCTTTGGTGCTTAGAGTCCAGGAAAATCAAAATTGCCTTCCATGCAATAGCTAATGAAGGTATACCACAGAAAACAGGGTTATGCACTTAGAATTGCTCACGCGAAGCCCTGAGGTTCCCGCCTGTCTTTAGGCAGCATACAGCCTGCCCTGATCTTGTGCAATCTTCATCACCGTCCTCACGAGTGCCCCAAGTTCAGAGTCTGACGACTGTCGGGGGTGGATTAGTAAGCCTTTTTATGATGCAGGCTGTGCAGATCGGCTGCTCGTGCGGTGCTGTCGTCCAGAGGGCTCTCACCCGAAGCCCCCATGTCCCCATTCTCATGTGCGTCACTCACCGACTTCTTATACCCTGGAAGAAGGGAACAGAAGAAAAACCAGGAAGTCTGGGCTGAAAATATGTCTGTTTTATAATTTCCCTGAGAAAAAAAATGTCCACTGAAACTATTAGCAGTGATATAAGGCAAACTAACACTGTCTTGATCAAATTCGGAGTATTTAAGGGCTCATCTTAGAGCAGATAGCAACATCACACACATTTGAAAGTATTATCTATTGAAGCCACCTGAAAGTTATAGATAGAAAACTAGATAGAAATAAGTCTATCTAGTTTTCTAAACAACTTAGGGTTGACAAACATTCCATTTTACTTCTACAACTATCTACTGAAATGCAAATATTTTAATTTTTATATTTTGCTTCCACATGACAATGAGTTCCTGGCCAGCCTAGGAGTCACAGGAAGACCTCAAACCCAACAAAGCTGTATTTTTCATTATCTGGCGCAGTTAAAGTGATATGCCATATGACAAGTCCTATTTCACGGTTTAGATGCTTGCAGCTTACATTAAGTAACAGAGTATTTTCTAACCTCAGCTATAACAAAAAATAAGAAACAGGTTTTCTTCTGTTTATTTGTTCGTTCGTTCGTTCGTTCGTTCGTTCATTCGTTTATTCATTCATCCATTTATATTTATTTATTTGTTTGTTTGTTTATTTATTTATGTGTCTGTTTGTTTTTTGTTTTTCAAGACAGGACTTCTCTGTGTAGTCCTGGCTGGCCTGGAACTCACTCTATAGACCAGGCTGGCCTTGATCTTAGAGATCCCCCGCTTCAGCCTCTTGAGTGCTGCATTAAAGGTGTGCACCACCACTGCCCAGCCTCGAACAGGTTTTCTAATCCCCATGATAGTAAAAAGACAATGGAACCATGGGATAGCAGTTCAGCACTGTAAGGTTCTGACAAAATTCCACAACATTCTGTCCATGTCCATCTCGTGGGCCACCTCCCTCCTCAAGACACAGTTTCATTGTATGGCTCTGGCTGTCCTCAAACTCACTTTGTAGACCAGGCTGGCCTCCAACTCAGTTTCAACTGTCTCAGCCTCCTGAGTGCTACCTGCTATTCATTTCTAGAAACATTTTTAACATATTTATTTTTATTTATGTATATAAGTATGTACACGTGTCTAAACGCCTGTGGAGGCCAGAAGAGGGCATCAGATTCCCTGGAGCTGAAGTTCCATTAGGTTGTGAACTAAACAATGTGGGTGCTGGGAACTGAACTCCGGTCCTCCACAGTGTGCCAAGTGCTCTGAACCTGAGCCACCTCTCCAGCCCCAGAGGCTGCTGGCTTTACAGAAGGTAGCAAAAAGAAGATTTGCTTCTAGGTCTTTGTTTACTTTGTTACAAGTGCATGCAGAATCGGCTTCATAGATCTATTATTATTTTCAAATAACTGCCAGTTTCTTTAGTACTATACAGAAATCTAACAATGTGGACTTCAGGCATCACCAACTCACAGTTACATTAGAGTTCAATTGCTTTTCTTACACTGTGAAAGTAAACACACAGAATTCTGTAAAATCTCATATGGGTCATGTGAAAAACACTGGATTCCTGAAGTAAGGAGCAATTCAAAAGCTGACATGTTTTATTGCATTATGTAAGAATTATATTTATTCTTACAAGCTCATCACAAGCTTACATAGGGGAACCAGTCAAGCTCCTGGGGATTGATGCCATGTTCTACAAAACACTAATTTTCACTGGAGAGCTCTTGTTTTATTTCTGGCAATAAGTACTCTCAACTGTCTTCTCTGAAGTAATGGACTGAAAAATTTTAAGATAATGGCCACCCAAGAGTCTGAATAACCATCATCTGTCAGTCATTCCTCCAAAGAAGTCAGGAAGCTAACCAGTGCAGTACTGAAGACCAGCACCTCTGTCCAGTCTGCTGGGTAACTGACAAGCACAGCTGCCTCTCAAATGGAATTTTAAAAAGCAATGTACAAAACAACTGGCACTGGGACCTAGGCCAAGAACTCTGAAGAAAAATAAAGGTAAAAGTGGAGGGGTTGGGGATGTATGCCTGTATTCTCAGCACTTGGAGACTGAGGCAGGAGGATTGCAAACTCAAAGCCAGCCCAGGCTTTACAGTGGGATCCTGTCTCAAAAAGCAAATCAAAACTAAGCAACATACTCAAGAATTAGCATTTAATTTAAAAAGTCAGTTTTTATAGTAACCCAAACACCAATTTCATCTAAAAATCAATTCTGTGTCGTCACAGTGTTATTATGAAAAGCTCCCGAGTCCACGTGCCTCTTTCAACAGGTCCCAAGGACTCCCCGACACTTATCTAGGATAACTTGGAAACCACTACTCCACCTAAAGAAAGTGCCAGCATATTTCTTTAATAATTACCAAATTAAAAATCTTGAGGCTCGTATATCCTGATGGGGGCAATAATCATAGACATCAATTTAACCACTAATCCACACTCAAGTTCTAATTCCTTGTGTTCTGAGAACAGAATTTGCATTGAGACACTTGTACTCTAAAGGGACGTTGGTTTGTTTCAGAGTCTAGACAACTGGAATCTTCTTAAGTGTCTTAGGCAAGATGAACTAGAAAACATGTCAATTGGTGTGCATAGTAAACTTCCAGAGTGACTGTCCCTTCCTTTCGTCGGCACAGTTAAAGCTGTGTCCCTGGAGGCTTTCACATGTCAAACTGTCCCTGACAATCAGCACGGTCGGAATACAGTGTGGGGCCTTTTACCTGGTAACCCTTTCATTTCGCCACCACTCTCTTTGCAGCCAGCACCAGGATTGCCACCTCCTTCTAACTCATCAAGGTACAGACGGTAACGGTGTCCACTCTCGTCCTCATACTCGACATTTTCATCATCAGAATCCACTTCAGGAGCCACGTACACCACTTCAAATTCAATCTCTCCTCTCTAAACAGGGATGAAGACAGAAAGTCAGTCACTGTGATCATAATCAAGACAGAACTCCCAGTCTTCGGGAACAGGTACCGGGAGGAGGAGATGGCAGACCCCGCTCCTTTTCAGTCAGGCATGACATTCTCGACTCTCTAGAGGTGCAAGTGCAGGACGCCATGATGGCCAGACCACTAGGTGGATCGTCTCTACAAGGGAGTTCCTTCTAACTATTACAGTTCCTTCCACTGATCAAAGCATTCATTCGTTTGAGACAAAGTCTCAGGTAGACCAGCCTGGCCCTGAATCTGCACACAGCTGAGGATGACCTTCAACTCCTGATCTTCTGCCTCCACTTCTTTTTTTAAAAAAAAGTATTCATTTATTATTTTATATATATATATATATATATATATATATATATATATATATATATATATATATGAGTGCTTTATTGGCTTGTATGACTTTATGCCAGAAGAAGGCATCAGATCCTATTATAGATGGTTGTGAGTCACCATGTGGTTGCTGGGGATTGAACTCAGGACCTCTGCAAGAACAGCCAGTGCTCTTAACCACTGAGCCATCTTTCCAGCTCCCTGCCTCCACCTCTTAAGAAAAGGGATTACAGGTGTATGAGTGACCTGACCATAGTATTTTTGTTTTGTTTTGGAGACAGGGTTTCTCTGTGTAGCTTTGGTGCCTATCCTGGACCTCGCTCTGTAGACCAGGCTGGCCTCAAACTCAGAGATCCGCCTGCCTCTACCACTGGCTGTATAGCAATAGTTTTTTTTTGTTTGTTTGTTTTTTGTTTTTTTTGGTGTGTGTGTGTGTGTGTGTGTGTGTGTTTAATTTTTTATTTAATGCTGAATGCTGTTTATTGAAGAATGGAGGAGGTCTTAAATACAGGTTTACAGCACAATGGGAGAACCCCGGAGGGCAGAACTTCGCTACCAATGTTTTACAATCTTGCATCTAAGCTGTTATCGCCCATTATGCAGGATACACAGACAAGGAACTTCCCTTAAGTATTCAGGAGGGTGGAACCCAGCAAGGAATTAGCATAGGGAGGATATCAAGATCAACTGACCATAGTATTTTAAATAGTGTATCTAAAATAAAAGGGATGCTTAACTATTAAATTTACAGAATATTGGAACAAGTGTCCAGTTTAAAGTCATCTTACACTTTACCAGCAATTTAACACATCTATTTAAACAGATATTAAATAAAGCTGTATATAAGGGTGTCAAACAAACTTGACTAGTTCAAGAAATTGCTATGACTTATAGTTCTCCCTTTGAGATAGGAACTTCTTCTGTAGCCTACTCTAGCCTGGAACTCAACCACACTAGCTTCAAACTTGCAGCAATCCTTCTGCCTCAGACTCCCCTAACTGGGATTATGGGTGTGAATTACTACACTCAACTTATTTTTAAGTCTTAAACCGTTGTTTAAAAGAAAAAATAAAAAACCTCTTACTGAGACAACAGTTAATAAAGGTATTTATTTAGTAATAACAGTAATTACTATATTTTTTTTTTGTGATATATATTTTTTATTTTACAATACCATTCAGTTCTACATATCAGCCATGGGTTCCCCTATTCTCCCCCCTCCCACGCCCTCCCCTTACCCCCAACCCACCCTCCATTCCCACCTCCTCCAGGACAAGTCCTCCCCCGAGGACTGTGATCGACTTGGTAGACTCAGTCCAGGGAGGTCCAGTCCCTTCCTCCCAGACTGAGCCAAGTGTCCCTGCATAAGTTCCTGGTTTCAAACAGCCAACTCATGGAATGAGCACAGGACTTGGTCCCACTGCCTAGATGCCTCCCAAACTGATCAAGGCAATCAACTGTCTCACCTATTCAGAGGGCCTGATCCAGCTGGGAGCTCCTCAGTCTTTGGTTCATAGTTCATGTGTTTCCATTCATTTGGCTATTTTTTTTCAATAATTGAGTAAAACTGAAATTTATTATATGCCACAGTCGTCCTAGGGACCTCCATGCTATATATATAGCCTCTATGGTTCTATGGGTTGTGGTCTGATTGTTCATTTTATATCTAGAATCCACCAATGAGTGAGTACATACCATAACTGTCTTTCTGGGTTTGGGTTACCTCACTCAGGATGATTTTTTCTAGTTTCATCCATTTGCCTGCAAATTTCATGCTTTCATTGTTTTTCTCTGCTGAGTAGTACTCCATTGTGTATATGTACCACATTTTTTTCATCCATTCTTCCGTTGATGGGCATCTAGGTTGTTTCCAGGTTCTGGCTATTACAAATAGTGCTGCTATGAACATAGCTGAGCATGTATCTTTATGGTATGTATCAGCATTCTTTGGGTATATGCCCAAGAGTGGGATGGCTGGGTCTTGAGGTAGTTCGATTCCTAATTTTCTGAGAAACCGCCATACTGATTTCCATAGTGGTTGTACAAGTTTACATTCCCACCAACAGTGGAGGAGTGTTCCCTTTGCTCCACATCCTCTCCAACATTGGTTGTCATTGGTGTTTTTGATCTTCAGTAATTACTATATTATTGCATAAAATTATAGCTTTTATTGATCCCCAGAGCATCCCTATTATAGTCTCTTTCTCATAAATGAGCAGCCTTGATGAGGACTGAAGAGAACATGTAGCTTTCTGCACATCACAGGCAAGCACAAAGCAACAGCAGTTTGGCTATGAAGTCCTTACTTGTTTCTCTATGCTAGGCTAGATGCAGTATTTTTATGGTTATTCTTTAACAGCAACTCTATGCTCAAGTATAAAATTATAAATAATTTTAAGGTAAAGAAAACTCCCAAGATATAACTGTTACTTACTGAGACTGCAGTCACCACATCCTAGTCTTGTGTGTGTAACTCTGAAAATTACAGCCTGTCTTTTGTCAGAACAGAGGATGCCAGTTTTGATTGCTACCCACTTAGAGTCTTCGGTGCTGTGCTTTCCCGGTTCTGCCCCTAACAAGTGTGCTACAGGCTGTTTCTTCCACGTTCACTACTGCCTACCGGAAGCTCCTTTGCCAGAGCTGCTATTCATCCAGTTCTGCTACTGACACACAGTCCAAGTGAGCCCCGAAGACACTAACTCAGGAGACTACAGTAGCGTTCTCTCTTATCAGATAATTAAAGGACAGTATCATCACAATATAGGGCGTCAGAGAAAGGACTGCTGGAAGGAGACTGCTTTTAGTCATAAAATATAACTGTCTAGCTTTCTTATTTAACATAATTAAGGTGGGCTGAGGGACGGCTCAGTGGTTAAGGGCACTTGCTGCTCTTGCAGAGGACCCAGTTTCAACTCCTAGTACCCACATAATTAATAAATACCATGTGTGAAGGTAGATAGATAATGTAGTCTCAAAGGCATGTCCATGTCCAGCCCATGCCCACATACATGTGCCTAGGATACCTATGAATGTGATCCAACACAAAATTGTAAAACATTGCAAGACTGTTTTTGCCTTTTTTTTTTTTTTTTTTTCTTTTCTTCTGAGACAGGGTTTCTCTGTGTAGCTTTGCATCTTTCCAGGAACTCACTCTGTAGCCCAGGCTGGCCTTGAACTCACAGAGATCTGTCTGCCTCTGCCTCCCGTATGCTGGCATTAACGGTATACGCCACCACCACCCAGCTGTTTTTGCCATTTTTTAAAACTCCATTGTGTGATTCCAAAGACTAAACTTTGCAGGTGACAATGCTCTGTCACAGTATCAAAAGGTGAGAAATACATACAAACACAAATTTCAGGCTTAATATAGAAGACTTTTTTTTGGTTTTTCGAGACAGGGTTTCTCTGTGTAGCTTTGCAACTTTCCTGGAACTCACTTTGTAGACCAGGCTGGCCTCGAACTCACAGAGATCCGCCTGCCTCTGCCTCCCAAGTGCTGGGATTAAAGGTGTGCACCATCACCGCCAGGCTAGAAGACCTTTTTAAAAGTCATTATCAGTAGGTTTTCCCTTTGAATCCTTTAATCAACGTCATAGAGATGTTTTATGTATCATCGTGTAGAGCTGAGCTAATTAAGTACACGATCACATTCAAGTATGATTGTTCTACACTAGTATAGTAACATCGATGATCCCCAACCATAATGTTGTAATTCCCTCAACCCTATTTTCAGAGGAAAACAGAGGTGATAAGGACATGAGATAACAAATCTGACTCTAAATATGGATTCTTATTCTATAATTTAATTTGCTAGGCAACTCTGAGCACATCCTTCATTCTCTAAGAATTTCAGCTACTTTAATATTTATCACTATCATTATTTTGTATTATTTGTGTTGGTGTTTTGCCTGCATGAATGTCTCTGTGCCCTTGGAAACCAGAAGAGGGCTTAGGATAGATCCTGGACCTGGAATTATTATTAATGTAGGTGCTGAGAGTCGAATCTGGGTCCTCTGCAAGAGCAGCAAGTGCCCTTAACCACTGAGCCATCCCTCAGCCCACCCTAATTATGTTAAATAAGAAAACTGAGCTAGAGGAATGCTATAGGTCCTTTCAGTTATGTTTTATTACCAAAAGCAGTCTACTTCCAGCAGTCCTTTCTCTAACACCCGATACTGCGGTGATGCTGTCAATCTTGCTCTTAAGTGTCTATCCTATTCTGAGCATCAACACATACCTTACTTACTCCTCCATTTCAACTGAATAGATGAGAGTGCCACACAGAGGACTGATGCAATCTGTTCAAGGGTAAGCAGTTTTGGAAAGGAGTAAACATAACCATCCTTTTCAGCAAGTATGATCATATGACATCTATAAGCTTCAAAGAATGGAAACAAGCTCTATACCAGTTTTAATTACATGAAGAAAATTAATTCACCTGCTGGGAAAGTATGGTTACAGCTTCTTTATGTTTTGTGTCCCTTAGGTTAACTCCATTCACTGCCAGAATAGCATCTCCAACATGGAGTCCTCCACATCTATCAGCAGGCTGTCCTGGATGGATCTCAGAGATGAGAATGGGAACACCATGCTCCTTCCCGCCCTAACAATAACAATATCAAAGGCAGTTAGTTAGTTTACATGTTATAAAATGGCTGCAGATCATCTTAGAGACGTTTTCTTAAAAATTCATTTCAATAAGTGGAGGGTTTCTGTAAACACTTGCTACCAAGGAGGCACCTCCAAGTACAATGACCAAAAGCCGATTGACCAAAAACCAAATGACCGATTTTATGAAATCATTTTAGACCCCCAAACTAAAATACCCAAACAAAAAACTACAATAACCTCACCTCATTTCTTAAACATTAAGAACAAATTATCTATGTCCACAGTACTTTGTGCCACCTTGTGGGCCCTTCCACAGCACTTTTATCCATGTAAACTGTTAGGTACTGTGCGGGCTGAGTAAGAGTGGCCCCCATAGGCTCATATATCTGAATGCTCAGTCACCAGGGGTAGAACTGTTGTAGAGGATCAGAAGGATTCTGAAGTGTGGCCTTTCCGGGGAGTGTGTCACTGGGGATGGACTCTGGACTCTGAGGTTGCAGGCCTAGTGACTCTCGCTCAGCCTTCGGATCGGGATGCAGTTCTCAGCTACTGCTCCTGTGCCGTGCACACTGCCACGCTCCCCACCACGGTAACAATGGACTAAGCCTTGGAAACTGTAAACACGCCTCAGTTGAAGAGTTGCCTTTTATGAGTGGCCTCGGTCATGTGTCTCTTCAGAGCAATAGAACACTGACTAAGATATGTATAATAAGATCAATCATTTTATGTATAACTAAGATAATACAGTTTTTTTGAGACAAGGTCTCTATGCAGCTCTGGAACTTGTTATGTAGACCAGGCTGGCCTTGAACTCACAGAGAGCCACCTAGCTCTGCTTGACAAGTGCTGGGATTAAAGGCGTGTGCCACCACGTACAGCTCTAACCAAGATAATTTTAAAATTGCATGATAAATCTTCAATTTCAGAAATACAAAAATATGTAATGTTGAGTTGAAGAAATACAGTAATCGTTAACTGGTCTCACTTTATATAGCTTGTATAATTGTTATGTTATTTCTATTTAAAAAAATTTATTTTATGTATATTGGTGTTTTGCCTGCCTCTTTGTCTTTATAACATGGTCATGCAAGGTGCCTGAGAAGGCCAGAAGAGGGTGTCAGATCCCCTGGAAATGGAGTTACCTTATGAGCTGCCATTTAGATGCTGAGAATTGAACCTGGGTCCCTTCAAAGAGCAGCCAGTGTGCTTAACCACTGACCTTTTCTCTAGCTCTAAGGGCATTATATTTTGAAAAGTAGATACTTAATAAATAAGTAAATAAATATAAATTAAATCTTCTTCTTTTTTTTTTTTTTTTTAATGTCCTGGAACTTTGTAGACCAGGCTGGCCTTGAACTCACAGAGATCCTTTTGCCTTTGCCTCCCAAGTTCTGGGATTAAAGGAGTGAGTCATCATCACCCAGCAGTTAAATCATTTTTTTATAAGAACCATTTCTACATTAGGCAATACCAGAAAACAAATGAACTCATACAATACTTACACAGTCTAAAATGAAAACCAAAGAAAAACACTAATATAAAACAAAACAACTCCTATTATGTATTGTTCTTCATTATGTTGTCCAAGAATAAGATTTGGTAAATTAGCAAAAAAAAAAAGATGCTGAAATACGGATCCAAGTCCCAGTGAAATCTGACAGGTAAAAGTGAGAAAAGTGACACATAAGCCAAGGAGAACAGACTCTGGAGCCACTTAACTCGGGAGGGAACAGCCATGGCTGCACACAGGCTCCAGAAACAAAACAGAGACTTGTACAGATCACACTTCCAGTTGGACTGAAGATGTTAGCAACTAAGTTATAACAAGTTTTATACACAAAAAAAGGTTTTTTGCAAAAGTGCTACTGCCCAAGTCTTGAAAAATTTAGGGGCACCTGGCAGAGGGATGAGGATCCATCCCCGGTGTGAGCAAGCTTTCTGGAGCCCATTATCTATGAGGGGACACCTTGCACAGCCTCCATGCAGTGGGGAGCGGCTTGGACCTGCCTCAAATGAACGGACCAGGCTCTGCTGACTTCCCATGGGAGGCCTTACCTTAGGAGGAGGGGATGGGGAGGCCGGGGAGAAGGCTGGGGGCGGGGAAGTGGGAGGATGGATGAGAGGGGGAGGGATCTGTGGTTGGTATGTAAAATGAAAAAAAAATTTTTTTCTTTGAATAAAAATAAATAAAAAGAAAAATTCAGTTGTTTTGAGCTCTATCCAAAACACTTTGTTCCCCAGACGACGCCCGATGAAGGAGCCTGGTTCTACCAGACACCTGTCATTAGGAACCCGGAAGTGCTACTTCTTACTGTAATTGAAATGCCAAGGCCTTCATGGTCTTCCTTAAGGAGGAGAACTTTCCGAATCGGACCAACTCCCTGGCTTTTCTTCAAAGAGTCTTGATCCTTATTGCAGGAAAAAAGGAAAAAAAAAATGTAGTATTTAAATAACAAACCAAGCAGAACTCTTGTTATATAACTTGTTTTTAGAAATCATTACCAATCTCCTGGTATAGATAAACAGCACAGTAATTAAAAGATGAAAATGCTGTTCAGTAGGTATGGTAAATTTTAAGATAATTTCCTCACCTTTTGTAAATATCTGTTTAGAGTATAAGACATTATAAAATGACCAGGAAGCAGTCAATAAACAAGTATCTTCAAGGAATAACGTATCTTAATATCCTATATAAATGCTAACTGATTTTTAGAATTGAGACTTTTTTTCAACTTGAACAACTACTTACTTTTATTCTCTAGTGTTCTAGAACCTACCTGTTAAAAACAGTTCCTTTCATTGTTCTTTCTTTGACGTCCCTTGCCTTTTTTTTCTTTTTAGTTCAAACCTAAGACCTTACTGCATGCTAAGCAAACACTGCATTGGAACACTCAACTCCCTCTGGTATCTTTGATCCTTTTCTCTCTTCTAAACTCCGTTTCAACTCAGCAGGGAGATAATCCTAACCATCTTCCAGTTTTAAGACCCAACATCCCTCCAGTCTTCCCGTCCTGTTATCGCCATCGTCTGCCCTCCACGCATGCGCACTTCCTTGCCTCCACATTACTTTGGTCACTTTGATTACGACTATTCCCTAGTCTGCAATTTTCTTTACGGTCACTCGGAACAATATTGCTGAATCCAGTGAACCCCTTTCGTCACTGCCCCACCCAGCGGAAAGTTAACAGGGCCCACAAACCCCTGGTTTGACACCCACGCCTTCCCTCTGGCTCTGTTACTTCCCCAGGTGATCTGCACTGACTGTTCAGGCTTCTCTCTGTGACCCACTCTTTCCCTCCACGCTAAGTTCCCATCCGTGGCCTCCTGTTCCTGCTACTTTATATATGCTTTCCTGGCTACTCCCTCCCATGGTTCCAATTCTACCAGACAAAACAGAACTTCCCTGATAGCTCTCCAACTTCAGTCTCCTCTCCTGAGCTGCAGCCACTCGCTCAAGTGGATGGATTTCTAGATGTCACCCGGGCACTTCAAACACTGCGTGTCTAGAACTGAGGTCATCTTTCCTCTCCCAGAACTTCATCTTCCTGTACTTCCTCCATCAGTAAAAGCCAAAGAACACTTCGTCAGCCAAACCAGAAGCTCAGACTAACAGCTGTCAAAGCTCAGCCAGGCAAACCCTCCTCACTAACTCTCTCGGAGCTGCCCTCCTGTATTTCCACTGTTACTTCCCATGCTTTTCCCATTTTCTCCCCGGATCACCACTGTGCCCTTCTGACTGAGGTAGCTGGGCACATTACCATACTATTATGTTCACTATTTTATTTAAAACGTCCATAATTATCAGAGTAATTAAGTTAAGACTCCTATATTTAATGTAAAATAACTTTGGTCTTCTGGTTTCTAGCTAACTAGTTAGATGATGTCACAAAGTTATTTGAGTATGCTTTATCACTCTGATACCGCCCACACCAACCACTGCATCCCTCTTGTAATCGGTTCTCAGACCCACTGGACCTCAGGGTTAACACGGAGCATCAGGCTCTAGAAGACAGTGACACATCTATGCACTGAGACCGTGTTCCTCATTATGTCCTGTTCTTCTTATAATAACTTTTGTGGAGGCAACAGATTATTCTACTCTTTAAGGCTGTGGTGGCTTGAATGAGAATGGATCATACATTTAAATGTTTGGTTTCTACTTGTTAGACTGTTAAGGAAGGACTAGGAGGTGTGGTCTTGTCTCTGTCTCTCTGCTTGTTGCCTGCAGATCAGGATATCAGCTCTTAGCTACTGCTCCAGCACCATGCCTGCCTGCCTGTCACTGTGCTCCTCATCATGATGTTCATAGATTAATTCTCTGAAACTGTAAGCAAGCCCCCAATTAAAATCTTCCTTTTGTAATTGCTTTGGACATAGTGTTTCGTCACAGCAACAGAACAATAACTAACACAAAAGCCACATTCATACGGTACTAAAATGTGTGCACCACTGTGGAAAAGTGGTTCCTATATTCATTTTTTTATTTGTTTGCTTTTTTTGAGACAGGGTCTCACTATGTACCTCTGGCTGTCCTGGAACAAATTTTGTAGACCAGGTGGGCCTCGAATTCATAGAGATCCGCCCGCCCCTGCCTCCCAAGTTCTGGGATTAAAGGAATATGCCGCCATCACCTGGCTCAATATATTAAATTTTTATAGTTAAAGTCTGTATCATCTAATACAGTTTAATAAGGATTTATCCAGATAGAATGCTCCCGTACAATGATGGCTATGGAAGCAGAAACCTGAATAAAGACTTCAAATTCTTCTAACTGAAGACAAAATAAATGTAAATATTATTTCAGAATCTATGTTTAGATGTAGGTACCAAAATTCCCTTGAAAAGTTCTCCCAAATACAACTCACCACAGATAAGCTTATAATAAATTTAAACATGCTCAATCATGATACCGAAAAACTGAAATATGATCCAAAGTACAAACAATATATGTTTGCTAAACAGGGCTTACTGTCTGCAGAAACACCACTCTTGGGACATCAAGTCAGAAAAATGACCAAATTCCGTTGAGTAATTGAACCTTTTAAATATGTAACTACTTTAAATAAGCTGAACCCCCTTTTCATTCTTTAACTAAAGGTTTCAAATACTGGTAGAAGGGACGAGAGAACAGAGAAGCAGACTGGTAATCCAGCCAAGACAGGCTGAGTGGGTGGCAGCAGGGACATACGTGGCCTGGAGGTGCCTGCATGGGTCGCTTCAGGTCATTGCGTCCTCGGCAGGCTCTGATGACGGTTTTGTGGCGATGCAAATGTATTTCTGCTTCTAACTGGTTCCAGAGCTTGTCATGAGCAGGTCCCTTCATATCTCGTCCCAGTAACTGTATTTGTTGGACCCTTTACATGGGAAGAAGAGAGTAGCTCTTGGTACACTTATTAGACTTAAGATATCTGCGAAGAATTATTACTTTAAGTAGCTATTGCAGACATTTTAGTTGGGAACAAAACTAATACCCAGGTTTCTCCCAATGTCTCTCAGATTTGTACAGGTAAACCAAAAGGGACAAGTATCTTTAAGGAAAAATATTTTTAAAGAGATAAGTGAGAACTACTTTAACTATATACTTAATTTAAATATATTTTTTGAGGTTAATGGCAACATGTTTTATTTCTTGCATAACTGAATTCAGTGTACTATTGCATAGAAGCAGTTAGATGACTCTGACCATATAAAAACATTTCTTGCCGGGCGGTGGTGGCGCATGCCTTTAATCCCAGCACTTGGGAGGCAGAGGCAGGCGGATCTCTGTGAGTTCGAGGCCAACCTGGGCTACCAAGTGAGTTCCAGG